GTGGACCATCAGCCACGCAAATTGATTTCTTCGCTGTCAAGCAACAACATCGAAGGCTATTCAAAAACGTCAAAGTTATACCTGGTGAATCATGTGTCGCCCAACATAGACTCCTTGTGGCAGACTTGGTTGTCGAACTGTCAAAACATAAGTCTAAACAAATGCCTCGGAGAATCAAAACGTGGAAGCTGAAAAGCAATATTCATCGAGAAAAATTTCAGCAGATTGTCGCCACACAGTTAGACCACCAATCGCAAGCCAGTACAGATTGGAGTACATACAAAACCGTTTTAATGAACGCTGCAACTACAGTTTGTGGGAAAACTGGTTCAAAACGTCAGCATGAACGTGACACTTGGTGGTGGAATGACAGTGTACAAAATGCAATAGCTGAAAAGAAAGTTGCATACAAGCAATGGCAAAAATCAAAGTCTGTTGATGATCATAAAATTTTCCGTGAGAAGAACAACTATGCAAGACGTCAAGTTGCACTGGCTCGGACAGATCAGTGCAGAGAGTGGCTAACTAAAAGCAAAGGTGAACAAATGAAATCTCTGTATCGTATAGCAAAACAAGCAAAGCGTACGAAAAAAGACATAGTTGGTGCCTCATGTATCAAAAACGGCAAAAATGAGATGGTTCTTGAACAAGATGAGATCAAGCTACAGTGGAGAGAATACTTCAACCGTCTGTAAAACGAAACAAATCCCATCAATGTTAACTTTGACGCTCCACCCATCGAAGATCCGATTCCAGACATGACTATAGAGGAGCTTACAGAAGCTCTAAAAGCTATGAAGGATGGAAAGGCAGCAGGGCCTTCTGGACTCACAAATGACATTATCAAAGCATCTGGTACTGCAGGTATCCAAACGTTACTACAACTTTGCCGTGAAATATTGAGAAATTGCTCAATGCCGACTGAATGGAACTATAGCATGATAGTAAAGCAAATAGCATGAAAAGTAAAGGTGATCCATTGAACTGTTCATCATATCGGGGTATACGTCTGTTAGAACACTCCCTGAAAATTGTCGAAAAAATTATTGAGAGAAGATTAACGTCGTGCATCACAATCGGAAATTATCAATAAGGTTTTCTAGCGGGGAAATCAACAATTGATGCAATTCACATCCTTCGGCAACTGCAAGAGAAGTACCTCGCAAAGCATCAACAACTATTACATATTTTTGTAGACCTTAAAAAAGCATTTGATCGAGTTCCCCGTGAAGCAATCAGGTGGAGTCTACGTCGACAACTCATTCCAAAATATCTTGTTCGACTTGTGATGGAAATGTATACGAATACTAAGACTCTCGTCAGCACAACGGTTGGGAACACAGATGCATTTGACATCGGCGTTGGAGTTCACCAAGGCTCGATTCTCAGTCCACTTTTATTTATAACTGCGATGGAAGAAATCACAAAACCGATACGCACTGGTGACATTTGGAATCTAGTATATGCTGATGATATCGTTTTAACAGCCACATCTGAGCAGAATGCAGCACATATGTTTGAAGATTGGAACACCAGACTCACCGATCATGGATTCAAAGTCAACATCAGCAAAACCAAAGCAATGAACACTGGTGAACCCATCCAATCCACATCTACTGGACGATGGCCCTGTTCAGTTTGTAAAGCTGGTGTAGGTAACAATTCAATCAAGTGTCAGCAGTGTAACCAGTGGTGTCACAAACGTTGTTCAAAAATAGTTGGTACTTTATCTAAAGTGTCCAATTTTGTTTGTCCTGCTTGCATCAATCCACAACAACAAATTCAAAATAGCCCTGTTTTCGAAGC